GGTGGCGGAGCGTGGTCAATGGTGCTGGCCGTCAATGGCCGGCGCGCGACGATCGTCGGCGCCTTGTCGGTGACCTGCGCGCCGAACACCATGAGATGGCTAGTCGTTTTATAACCGAAGGTAGAGCCGTGGGCACCCAACTTGGGACAGGCCACGCTAATCTTGTCCGAGCTGCCAACCAATGCTGCACTTGATATTCTACCAATCCACTTGATACTCTATTCGCACCGTCGTGGAGCTAGTACATCAAGCACTCGGCCTTCGGCAGGGCCCATGTCGACATAGGATACCATGGTTTCTAGTCGTCGTCGTTGTGGCCAAAGGGACTTTAGCGATGCAGGTCAGCTCCACGCCAGCACGAGGCCGAGGACTCACTGGCGCGTGCCGCCATGGTTTGCATATCGAGCCGTGGCTGCGCAGACGGCGGCACTGCCATTACAGCGATGAAGAGCGGTGATTGAAGCTGTGGCAGATAATGCCAGCTTCCTGCCCTTCCCAACGCCTGGAGGCGCTAGCGGCCGCGAGGGATGTCTGCGAAGAACCATCCACTTGATGGTACCGTTGCCATCACCAATGGCAAAGAGGAGAAAGGGACGGGATGGAATTCCACACCTCGTCCATGTGAAGCTGAAGCAGGAGCCCACCAACATGTCATGAGGTGGCCGACTACGTGCCATCTGCATCTTGACAAGGCCAATGCCAACACGCTCCAGTCCTTTCGAGGCGTCGCGATCCAAGCTGCACAGGTTGTCGAGCTGGGCCGACGCCAGAGGCAGGCCGGTATTGGCATCCGACATGTAGCCATGTTTCTCACGCTGTTTCTCGAGCTCCCGCACGACAGAGCATCGAGGTTACCTTGTCATTTGTTATAGTTGAATATCGCACTCTCTAAGGGCTAGTAGTCGTAGAGGGCACCCGGCGGCTTCTTGGACGGGATGCCTTCCATGCGGTAGACCACGGCAGCGCCCTCCGCAGTACCCAGCACGAGGTGGCGTTCGTCGTGCGCGATCGCCGTGTACACGTGGTGGCGTGGCATCGAGTGCACCGGATACAAGCCAAACCAGCGCCAGACATGGACAACGCCCTGTGGCGAGAGACTCACGAGCTTGCGCTTGTCAAAGATCACGGACGCGACGCCGTCGGTGGCGCCAAAGGTCGTGAGCGGCTGCTGCGTGCGCACGTCCCATGCCTGCATGCCCTTGGCGCCATACGCGGCCACGACGACCGACTCGTCCATCTCGAGATGCGACACGGGCCCTTCACAGAGAAGCGGCTTGGGGAGGACCTTTTGGGGACTTGCCGCCCCACCAGCGCACCGAGCCGTCTTGACCGGCACTCCAGAGCACCCGTCCGCGCGTCAGTGTCTTGACAATGGCATCTACGAAGAGAGCCATCGTGTCATCATCTTGCCATCATCTTGTCGA